GCTTTTTGATGTAAAACGTACCAGAAGTTAAAGTGTAAAACACCTGCTTTGAGTTACAATTTTAAATTAAAACAAATTAATTTACAGATAAAATAGAAATTAAAAATGTTTCTTAACTTTACACAAATGAAAAGGTTGAGTGCCTTAAAACACTAACATTTCTTGAAAAATACTGTATATTGATGAATCTCCTTGGATTAAACTAATTAGCTCAGTGTCAGGACAAAAACATTGAAATCAACTGTAATCAGCATATGCAGTAACTAATTTAAAACCAGGTTATAAAGGATTTAAAGAGACATGACACAGGAATTATTCAAGAATGTACATTTATTTAAACATCCACACACAACAGCCACAACAGCACAAAAAGCAGCATTCCTTTAGCTCCTGTGAATGAGAGAGGGAGAGAGAATATATAATATATATATAGAATATGTAAAATTATGTATATGAATTCAAAGTTTAACCATTTGTTATGCAATTAAATTTAGATTAATATTTATTAAAAGTAATAAAAAATATATATTTTACCATGTTTAACTGTAATATATATTTCTGGTTTAAACTTGGAAGAACCAAAAAGGACACCTAACTGTTAACTGCACATTTTTAAGCATATAAGAGCAATACCCACCTATTGAATGGTCTCCCTTCTTTCCTCAGTTGTTTGTCAATTTTTTGATTAAATTCTTCTACTTCACTGAAATAGAGAACAAGTACTAATGGGTTAATGTAAATATCAGTAACAAAAAGGTTCTCTACACATTGTGCCAAAATAAAGCATATTCTGACCTGTAATGATGTTTTGTGCCAGAAAGGTAGACCTGCTCAGCATCATCTGAAGACAAACCCCTCAAGACCCCCAGAGCATGTATGATGGCCTATGAAAAAAAAATCATTTAAATGAACTAATATATCAACACTGAACAGCAAATATCATTATACATGGGTTGATAAATGAGTAACACCCAGCATGCAATTTATATACAGTAGATTTATATACAGTAGCAATTTATATACAGTAGATTTATATACAGTAACAATTTATATACAGTAGATTTATATACAGTAGCAATTTATATACAGTAGATTTATATACAGTAGCAATTTATATACAGTAGATTTATATACAGTAGCAATTTATATACAGTAGATTTATATACAGTAGCAATTTATATACAGTAGATTTATATACAGTAGCAATTTATATACAGTAGATCTATTTTGTAAGTACATTATTTGGTCTGGCATACCTCTGGAAAAAGAACATCACAGATAAGCTGCACTTCATCTGTAAACCTGAGTTTTGTTGGTGTCCTGTTCAGTACGTCTTTAAGATAACCAAAAAGGTTATCTTGCTCTTCCTCACTGTCTATGTAGACAGGCACCTGGAAAGATGCCTGCTTATGCAACCACTTAGAGGGCTTCCCTTTGAGAACACCCTATGGGCAAACAATGGTATAAAACAATTATTTAAAGAAATGTATTACACTAGATACAAAGATGGATAAATGTGAAGATTGTTGAAGTACCACCAAATGTTCCTCAGACCCCTTTAACTTTACAATAAAGTCGACAATTCTTTTTTCCTCTGTTGTGCGGACTTCAACAGCCTGAATGTGAAGTGGGATTTCCTCAGAGATGGCACACTTTTTTGGCACCCTGTACACTGGCTGAAGTTTTCCTTGGAGCAAGTTTCTGGCCTCATCAGTCCAGAAGGCAAACCGCTGACCATATCTTGGAAAAATAACAAGATTAATCTAAAATACTGCATAGCTTTTCCCCACACTACATTACCTTACAGCTTCATATAGCATGAAACAACTATTGCAAATATTTCCTATTTATCTTATGAGGACGATAGACATTATACTTTATTATACATTATCCAGCTAACACATACTATAACATCCAATATATATATATATATATATATATATATATATATATATATATATATATATATATATATATATATATATATATATATATATATATATATATATATATATATAAATAAAAAAAGGAAAATAGCACATAAAATTTTTCAAAAGTGTTACAGAGGTGCTATACCCTTCTATTTTGAAGCGTTCCATCAGAAGAAGACACCACCACTTTCGAATTAAAGGCATGTCCATCTGAAAGATGCGTCAAAGTGATGGGGAAAATCTTTAATTCATGATGTATCCATTTTATTCAAGATGAAGAGTATGCAAATAAACATTTAAAGTGAGAAATTTCTTCTAACATTTTCTCTAAATCAGGAGTGTCCAAACTTAGTCCTGGAGGGCCAGTGTCGTGCAAATTTTAGTTCCAACCACAATCAAACACGCCTGGGCTAGCTAATCAAGCTCTTACTAGGCTTTCTAGAAACATCTTTACAGGTGTGTTGAGGCAAGTTGGAGCTAAAATCTGTAGGACACCGGCCCTCCAGGACTGTTTGGACACCCCTGGTTTAAATAAACGTACCTCCTGGAATTCAATTGCCACACCGGTCACAGAGCAAAGGGTATACTGCAATAGAAAAGATGCAAAAGCTTTCATTCACAGGGTTGACAAAGGCTTGTTTATACTTGGTTAAATACCTTAGACCTCACCATAAGCATAAAAACCCCACAGTCATTACCACAGCTCTGGCGTGGCAAGCCCTAAAAGTAACAAAAAAAAAAAAAAGATTCAGATGAAAGCCACTGTCTATCTCTTGTAGTAATATTTTTTTGAAATAGCCATATGTTTAGTCACTGCAACATCATGTCCAGTCTTCTCAGTCCACTTTCCAGGATCAATTTGTTGTGCAAGATTTCTACAAAAAAAGAAAAGAAAAGGATAAGAACGGGGACTGAGAATATCAGTACAGCCTATAGGAACGTAGGCAAAATATATCAGTACAGCCTATAGGAACGTAGGCAAAATATATCAGTACAGCCTATAGGAACGTAGGCAAAATATATCAGTACAGCCTATAGGAACGTAGGCAAAATATATCTGTACAGCCTATAGGAACGTAGGCAAAATATATCAGTACAGCCTATAGGAACGTAGGCAAAATATATCTGTACAGCCTATAGGAACGTAGGCAAAATATATCAGTACAGCCTATAGGAACGTAGGCAAAGTGTAAATTGTGGTATGAACATGTCAATCTGTTTGCCTCATTTGTGGACCTAAAAATGACTCTGTACTCAGCATCACCAAATCCAGACTCATGCAATGCATACTGGGAGTCTAAAAAGATGATCTCTCTCATGAGTGGCTTCATGATCTATAATGTGGTATTTGAACAACAGATAAGCAAAATTTAAAAGTCATTAGGACAAAGAGTAGAGCTGGAATTCACTCTGTTGGAATATAGGATACATAAATACTACTAAATTTACTATCTGGTATCTTGTAACAGTCCCAATTCCTTACACAGAGAACGAAGTGTTCTGGCCCATTTGAGTTGGTCCATGCTGGAAACACCAACAAGTCTTTCATATCAACATCCTCCTAATATTAATGAAAAGCCTTGTTGTTATACAAATCTACATTTTTGAGACATAAATATATTATTTTCCGCATACTCACTGGAAAATTGGTAGACATATTTTTTGGTGTACGCTTCCATGTAGGAACTACGTACATGTTCTCTATATATATGTCTTTTCCCTATTTAAAAAAAAAGAATCCATTAAAAATAGACAATAATATGAAAGAATACAGTAAAATATGCATTATGATTCATTTATGCTTTTGATCTTTTGTATATACATATTACATACATGCTGCTGAGCTGCTTCATAAATCAATCTGAAACAGGCATTACCAATCTGCCAAAAACACCAAAAAATAAATAGATCAATAAAATCAATGCAAATATAAATCAATCACAAAAAATGCAATCATGGCTTTCCCCCTCCTAATTTTAACAAATTTATTCACTACTAACCTCAGAATCCATGTCTCTTTGCAGCCCCAGGCTCCAAAAGGCTTCACGGGTGAGACATGTGGACCCATCTTTTATAATAATTTCTGCTCCAGGCAGTCTCATATCCAGAACATAGCTGAGCTGGAAATAATAATTATTATTATGGGTGTAAAACTTGTTTTAACAGTATGTTTTCTACAGCAAGATATGAAAAAGGACTACATTTTGAGCATGTGTGTTGCTTATGCATACAAGAATACAATTTATGGATATTCTTGCTTTCTGATGGTTTACATTTTATTATTATTACTATTTTAAATAAAAAGACTAAAATCTAACTTACCAATTTGTCTTGGATGGTATTTAGTTCTTCCCAGGGCTTACACGGTGCTGTGAAGTCAAGGAGTGCTAATGGCCTGGGTGGAGTGAGGGACGATGCAGTGAGGGATGATGGCCTGGTTGCAGTGACAGATGATGCACCAAGGGACGATGCAGTGAGGGATGATGGCCTGGGTAAAGTGAGGGGCGATGCAGCAAGGGATGATGGCCTGGGTGCAGTGAGAGACGATGCACAAAGAGACGATGCAGTGAGGGATGATGGCCTGGGTGAAGTGAGGGGCGATAAAGCAAGGGATGATGGCCTGGGTGCAGTGAGGGACGATGCACAAAGAGACGATGCAGTGAGGGATGATGGCCTGGGTGAAGTGAGGGGCGATGCAGCAAGGGATGATGGCCTGGGTGCAGTGAGAGACGATGCACAAACAGACGATGCAGTGAGGGATGATGGACTTGGTGCCGTGAGGGATGGTGTAGCGAGGGACAATGGTTTAAGCATCTTGGGAGCTGCACTGGGAGTGCCAAAGAATGCTTTCTTGGGCATTGGCTCTTCTGAAACTAAAACAGAAAATTATTATAAGTGGTGCCATTCACATATATCTGTGCATGTTCAAAATTGCAAACTCATAAAATTAGAACATTACTCACCAGTTGCTTCATCATTGTTCGTTGGAACAGTGGATACCTTCTCAGATGACAGTGGATTTGCTGAAAATTAAATCATACAATCAAATTGAACAAAAAATGTTCTGCACTCATAATTGTATTTAATACATAAAAATAAATAAATAAATAAAATAATTACCCAACACTGCCTGGCTGTGCCTGTTCATTGTGACATCATTTTCAAAAGCCCTTTTTATGTTGCCTAGTCGTTGTTCATTTCTGTGCATGTTATGATGATGTATGATATTTCTCATAAGAAACAGATGAGTCGATGGTAAAGCCATGTTTAAAAAGTAATTGTTTTTCTTCATTCTGGAAAATAGTTGTTCTGCAACTTGACTGTTCACTTTTCCCGCGAGTTGTGGGACCAGGTCAAGTTTACGCAGGACATCACGAGGATCTTTTGTATTGTCCTCATGAAACCGGTCATACAGAGCATAATGTTCTGCTGAACCCGTTATTGGATGACCTTCAGTGTCTGGGATGTTTTTTTTACAATTTAGCCAAGGCAATGAGACCTTCAGTTTCCCATCTTTGGCTTTGGCTATGTTGTCTGGAGTTGGTGCTCTTAACCGTCCTTCAAATGGCTTGAAAGGCAAACTTTCTGGTTCTCTAAGGTTCATGTGGGTTGCTAACCCACGTGCAAAGTCATATATGACGACATTTGGCATGTGCTTCCAAGAAAGTAACATGTCTGCAAAGTCACGTGGGCTTTCTGCACGAATGTTACATTTGATGCTGTACACAATGCCGCACGGGCACAAAATGACAGCCCAACCACCTGAGATGGGAAAAAGTTAACCAATGTTTATCCTCACAGAGCTATATCAAACAAAACTATAAAAAAATAAAGTTCAAATAATTAAAAACTACCAGCTGTGGAAGCTTTTCGATCCTCATGGCAAAACTTTTACAAAGTAACACACACATAAAGCAAATTACCCTACCTGAAGCCGCCCAGATCTTTTGAAAAATCTTGTCATATGTCTGCCTTGACTTCATTTCACAGGACAACCTCAGAAGGAGGTCAGCTCGTGATCCTGACGAATCTAACCCACACTCCTTACATAATTTCCTAATCACATGAATCTATAAAGTAAAACAAATTACATATATGAGGAGCCATGTTTTTGATGAAAATAATGACTCCTAAAAAGAGAAAATCTAATACATACCTTTTGCCTGTACAGTTCCTCTCTGAGGCGATCTTCTGTCACTGTTATCTCAGAGACCTCAGCCGGTTTTGGTGGACGAACTTTTTTACACTCTGTGTTAAGGACACAATTTGATCGACGTGTCTTGCTTCCTATCCATGGGGCCCAAAAATGGAAACTTGGTGGGACTAAAAATGGATTTTTTTGTTGACCTTTGTTGAAAATCACATAAAATAAGAAATAACTGTTAAAACAGCTTAAAATTTACATTTATAAACATTTTGTGGATCTAAAATTATGCTACTTGGTTTGCCAGAACAATTTGCATTGTCATTTACACAGTCATTTTTTATTTCCATTAATAGGAATTATTTGCTTGTCTTGTTTACTTGTGACAAATCCTCTACCAATCCTCTCCACTGAAAGTGCCTCCCAAAAACTGTGCATGTCAACCTCTCCTTGGAAGTCCTCTGGAGGCAGTGCAAGGTCACTTACTAAAGAAATAAAGTAGAAACATTACACAAATGTCAAATCTGTGCAGAAATTAAAACCATACACTGGGTGAAAATTAGTATCAGATGTTAACTTCACTCTTTTCAATGAAACTATCCTTACCTGACAAATGGAAGGCCCCCTTCTTATGGAGGTCCATGATTACAACTGGTGGATTGTCTCCACAGTTCACACAAGAATACTGATAATTATGTTCTGTAAGAGCTTCAAAGTGAAGATATCCTTGCAGAACAGCATCAGCTGAGGGAAATTGTACCCCTGTAGTTCTTTCCAAATATTCCACCACTCTGCTGACAGCAGTATGGATCTAAAAGAAAAACATAATAATGAAAACCCTGAAACTCTGTAAATTATAGCTGTAATTTTCCCCCAATAAAATTTACCCCAAAACTACCTGTAGCATATTTCTTATTGTTATGCATAAAGGGAGGTCAAGAAGTACTTGATCATTAAAATTGTGTATGCCTTCTTTCCATTCTTGGTACCGAAAGTAGGTTCCACATTGATGACACAGCTTACAGTAGGTAGACACATCTAGAAATACAAATATAAAAAAAAAAAAAATGAATTAGTGAATTAACTGTTTAATAATACAGAATCTATATCACAGACCTACCCTGAACAATGCGTGAGCTGGTGAGGATTTTCGCCTTTTGCGTAATAAGGATTGGGTCACCCAGAGGTACATTGCCAGGGCAGTGCTGGCACATCATCTCCTCTGGGATTAGATGCCTTGGATACTCTTTTTCCACTGATGGAAGACGTATCTCTTCAGGAAGAACTGGAGGTAACTTTTTTTTCATCAGAATATACTGAATCATGACTTTTAACTTATCCTTATCTTTTGGTGGATACAGTCTGTCACCCTCATGATCGGCTTCACTCCATCTGTTGTCGTCCCCTGCTGATGTAAGAAATTCCAATTCCTCAGTGCTCCGCACTTTACTAAACAGCTCAGGGTTTGTCTGAAACAAGTGCCATTTGGCAATATATTTATGTATGCAAGACCTCCTTGTCTTCTGACATGGACAGTGCCATGAATTTTTTTTGGTGTCATATGACACCATGACTCTTCCAAGCCGACTGAAATATGAAATTGTAGGCTCATATACAGAAATGTATTTCACTGATTTGGGGGTTCCAGTTTTGCAGTGCACAGACAGAGGTACATGATTGCTTTTGGCGAGGTTTTGCCGATCAAGGCAAACCTTCTTTTTATCCTCACCAAACCATTTGCTGTTCACCATCTCAGTAAGTGTAATGTCACTTAGCAGAGGAGAGGAAGCATAAGATGAACAGTATGCTATTGATTTAATATGTGTGCACTGATATGCCTTTAACCCACTCCTCCATGCCAACTCCATGTTAACCTGGCACTCAGTGGATTCACAGGAGACATGTTGATTTTCACCCCATATTTTATTTTGGACATGTAGAGGTATGCTGGCACCATGAAATGACTTGTGGACACAATAAATTCCATTTTCCTGATCTATACATTCATTAAGCAGGTGGGATGTTGCTGTGATGTCCTTTTGTTTGGCTGTGTGCTTCCTTTCTATGTGCCTCTTTAAATTTGTTTTGTGCATTTGAACTTGGCATATGGGACATTTTTTCTTCAGTACTTCCTTTTTACAGACTCTTTGTATCTGTCCACTTGGGGTGGATGTAGTGTCTGGATATGGCATGTTGGTGGTTGCTGTTGTCGGAGCTTGGTTGGTGGTGGTTGCTGTTGTCGGAGCTTGGTTGGGGGTGGTTGCTGTTGTTGGAGCTTGGTCGGTGGTGGTTGCTGTTGTCGGTGCTTGGTTGGTGGTTGTTGCTGTTGTTGGAGCTTGGTCGGTGGTGGTTGCTGTTGTTGGAGCTTGGTTGGTGGTGGTTGCTGTTGTTGGAGCTTGGTCGGTGGTGGTTGCTGTTGTTGGAGCTTGGTTGGTGGTGGTTGCTGTTGTTGGAGCTTGGTTGGTGGTGGTTGCTGTTGTTGGAGCTTGGTTGGTGGTGGTTGCTGTTGTCGGAGCTTGGTTGGTGGTGGTTGCTGTTGTTGGAGCTTGGTTGGTGGTGGTTATGCCAGGGTGCTTCCACTTGCATAAAGACAGGTGTTTAATGAAGTCTGGTTTACGCAATATTGTTAACTGGCAGTGGATGCAGTAGTAATGCAATTGTGGTCGGCAATTTAACCCACATCTGTGAATGGTATACCCTTCACAAGAACATATAACAACTGATTAAATGTGTACATTATGTATACCCCCATATATACACAGTATAACAAATCAGAAAGACACTTATTTAGATTAATTACCCAAATAGAAAATGGACTTCCATTTCAGGAGAGAATGTTTGAAAGTTTTACCTTCATGGAGAACTGCACGACTGAAATGGCTTTCTAAATGGGTTCTGACTTTGCTCAACTTTGCTGACTGGAAAAAAGCTGAGCTACAGAATGGGCAGTGAAAGTCCATACAGCATTTGGCGCATCTCTTCAATTCAGGCAAGGATCTCCCTTGTTGGATCGTTATATGCATCTTGAAAAAGAGAGAGCCTAATAGTTAGTGTATTTGGTATATAAATAACTTCACACTATGAATAACTTCTTAAGAATTAATAAATAGTTAGTTCATCATTTGCTAAGCATTAAATCTAAATTAACAGACATTAGTAAGTAGTTTAAATACAGCTACATATGCTGTATTCTTTATTTATAATGTGCTGAATAATTGTATTTTTATACTTTGTTAGCGATTCTTTTATGAATAATGAATTATTGCATTATTTACATACCAGTTATTTAAGAGTAATTGGTGCTTAAGTGATTAATGAACACACACATGTATACATCTCTATTTTTCAGGCATAGAGTAATTGTTAATCGGTAAATGAATAAATCTGGTATTAGTTCAAATTCCTAGTTTTGTGACCTAATCTAAAGTGTGGAATATTTATGATTTATTTTTTATTTGTATGATAAAACATTTAATTTTATGCTGTGATTTAAATTGTACAGTAATTTTATCTTTAGATTGCAAAGATTTGGTTTTTATTTGATTTTGTAAAGTTTTATTTTTTATGGTTTTGTTTTAATCACTGTCATTCATTTGCTTAAATAATACTTAATTTTGTAATGAAACAAAAATAATGAAATGAAACATAAATTAACAAATTACAAAAAAAAGCAAGCAAGCATAGAGATGCTATTAATTCAAGAATACAGCTAGCATTTGTAACTGCATTTATAAACTGCTAAACTATGTCTGTAAATGTAGATTTTATACTAAACAAATAATAAAATAATAAATTAAATATTTGTTAATGCCTAACAATTTATAGTATGCAGTTTTTATAAAGTGTTATCCAACAGTTTGAAATAACATTAATGAAAATATTCCTATACGTTGTTTTCAATTATATTGGGCATCACATCATATTGGCCAGGTAGATATAGACATTAACATGCCTACACAATAAACATATTAACGTGTAGACATAATACATGATAATAAGAGTCTATGGTCAAGGCCTGCAGATTTATACTTAGCTAATGTGATAAAACAATGAGCAAAAGTCGTTTTCACACTATTATACAGAAAAAATTGAGATAAATCTGAAACATCTCTCACATCAACGAACTTTTTATAATTATTAGCCGTTAAGTCAACACGCAATTAAACCAACACATAACCATGGCCACGAATTGAGAACGTCGTAATATTTAAAATATTAGAAAATGAATTCCAAATTGGTGGCAATAATGTATTCAAAGTTAGCAGCTCTCATTTTAGTTGTGTAAACTTCTCCACACTTACTATTATATTTTAATCTTCTTCTGGAAAAAAATCGTCGCGTAACAACTTTCCTTTCCGCAATTTTTGTCCCAGACCCTTGAAACTAGGGTAAATCGTGCGGGCTAATCGTGCATTTTTTGCACAAACTTTGCACAGTATACAGTAAGTTAACAGTACTAAATAAACACCTACTTTTACAGTTAAAATAAAACCTAATAGAAAATCGGTACTCACATTATTCTTGCCATCCATGTCGTCCATCTCATTAGAGCGTGTATGATCCAATCCGGCAGGCGGCGATGTCACAAAAAAACTAGGGTCCTAAAGATGCGGTCCTAAAAATACGGTCCTGAAAGTGCAGCTACTCCAGTTGTGCAGAATCACCCTTCTCTAGAGCTGCCTCAAATAATACTGTAAGTGACATTTACAGGAAAACTGTTTCTCAGTCGTCCACTGTCATGAATGTGTTGTTTCAAATGATGTAACAACACCTGAAACTACTGAATTATACTGAATAGAGCTGTTTGTGGATTTAAAAGATTTGGAGGAAAATGGAATAGCTGTAGGTGGTAACGTAGTTAAAGGTGCACTGTATTGTATTGCTGGTGGTGATAATTTGCGTTCACATGCCATTGGTGGGTTTACTGAAAATTTCAGTATTGTGCTCAGTATTTTTGCAGGTATTGTGAAATAACAAGAAATGAATTTCAGAGTGATAACCCAAATGTTTGTGGTCCACAGCGCACCCGTGAAACTTATGATTCTGCTGTTCATGATTTACGATCTTAAGACAGTCAAGACATCAAAGAAATAAAGGTAAACTCTGTTTTCTGTTGCATGTCAAAGACAGTTACACTTTTTACCCAAGTCTTTACAGTGAATCAATTAAACATACAGTGAGAGAATTTAACTTTTCAGACTTTAATACTACTGTGTCCACAGAAATAATCTATAAAGGAATGTCATACAAAAAGGGACATTTTCTTGTGTCTAAAAGTGATGAGTTCAACTTCTCATCATTTTAATCCAAAATGACGAAGCTGTGTTTTTTGTAATGGGAATACAAAAAGCTGAATATCATTTTGAATACCATCTGTATTCTGTGACTAAACAGAGTACCAGGCTACAGTGTCTTAGCATAAATGACTTGGTTGATTTTTATTTAACATTATAAATTGTTAATGGGTACCAAGTCATTACGCTGAAACACAGCGTGCTGTCGAAGTAAAGAGATCTTGTCCACAGAAGTGAAAAAAATATACTAAAAATCATCATGTATGCTTAGATAAAATAACATGTAGTTTAAAGAGATAGTTTTTCCAAAAATAAAAAATGTTGATATCATTTACTTACCCTTGACTTTTTTTTTCAATCCTGTTTGGGATTTGTTTATTTTTTTTCTCAAGATGATAATTTAACTGTTGACTTCTATAGTATTTTTTCCTACTATGGAAGTCTATGGTTACAAGTTTCCAACATTCTTTTAAATGTTGTCTCAAAAAAACTCAAACTGGTATAAAATATGTCAAGGATAAATAAATTATAGATTTTAAATTTAAAAAATGTTGTGATCTATCCCTTTGAAAATAGTAAGATTTTTGTTTTATTTGCAATTAGATGAACAGAAATAAACTCTTAATAAATTTAATAACTACATGTTTAATCACTACTTGATTGATTTCAGTAATGACTGACTTGGAGACAACATTTCTACGTACTGCCATCACTGAGGTCTTGCCTAACCTTCCAGAGGCAACAAAAGACATTTTAGAGGAGACATTGCAATCCATTGGAGTGGAGACATATGATGATTTTAAGTTTATTGAGGAATCTGATTTGCTGACAGCATTAAGGCCAATCCAAGCTCGAAAAGTCCTTGCTGCTTGGAAGTTAAGATGTAAGTCATGTGTTGCAGAACAGAACACTCCAAGACAAGTTCACAAAGTTACATGTGTAAAAAGGTCTTAAAAAGAAAATGTAAATAAAATAAAAAAAACTTTGTGTTACTGACTATTGTTTGTGTATGACCTTTTGCAGGCCAGACACCAGAAACAAGCAGCTCACCACAACCTTCCACAGCCTTGCATAGTTCACCTGCAAGTTCTCAATCATCCTCCACCAGCATCTCCCAAAGCCCAGATGTAGACTGGGTGGATACGTTTCTGATACCATGGGATAAATTTCCTCAGGAATTAATGCAATTTTTGGAGAGAGGAAAACGACCAAGTCCACGAATGAGAAGAGAGATGGTCCGGATTGTGGTAAACGAGATGATGCGAAAATGTTCATGCCCAAATAAAAGGAATTCTACTGAAGTTGCCAAAAAGATGGTAGCAAAGTATCCAGAGTCTCTCCTGGATGTAATAGAGGGGGATGTGGTTGGGCCAGGGTACCATTCTTTAGTGAAGCAATTGCAGTATAGGATTGAAAATGTGAAGCGATCTACAACACCCAAAATAAGAAAACGAAGACATCAGACTGATGACTCTGACACGGATGAAATTCCTCCAGAAAAGAGGGCAGCAATTCAGGATACGTATGGATGCATTAACTGGCATGTAAAATTCCTGCCACTGGGAGAGACCTCTGAAAGCCAGGAGGAAAAGAAAGAGAAAATGAAGATAATGTCTCGTCAAACTGATGCAGATGCAGAAGAAGTCAGACATCTAATGAAATTGACTTTCTACACACAACGTAACCAAGTAAATCAGGGCAAGAATATAAAATGCCTCCTGGAGGATTGGCCATGGTGGTTTAATGAGCTTGGCATGGCAGTTCACTACAAGGAGCTTACCGGAATTGGTCTTAATGAAACTTTCACCCGGAATCTGGACTTAAAGGGGAAACGACTCCTAAACTACTTCAGTACAGTTGGTGTGAACAAAAACAAAAAGTTCCTGCAGGACTTAACAAAGTTTAAAGTGATGAGGGGAGAGCTAAGTGGTTGCTCTGAAGATGTGAAAGAGATGTTGATGCTTTTGCTTTCCTACTTCAATGAGAAGGAAGATGCTATGTTCTGTCATGTGGAGGACACATGCCTCGCAGAAGAGGTAGAGATGGACAAAGTTAATTTGACCCCAACACTTGTTGTGTGTGGTAAGTTTATTTGTTTGTTTCTTTGCTATAATTTTTTTTTTAATGCTTGACTATGGAGCTAAAATATGACAAAAAATCTGCATTTTTTTGTTTGAATTATTGACAATTGTAATTTAATAAATCAGAATTTTTATATGCCGTTAAATTTTGAATTTGAATTAATTTTTTGAATTTGAATTTCTTAACTTGAATATTGAACATCTAAAATTT